TTGTGGAACTTTGCAATTAACGCTTTATTAGTGTTAAACAAATTTATTTACACTTCAAGCACGTGAATACTATTGATATGCTGGTACGGAGTCTGCTTTTATTTGTACAACAGTTTTTTTTATCAGTTCCATTATTTTTATTCTACGTGTTTATACCAATGGCTTCACAATATGACATACTCGTGCTGATATGTATAATATGTATATAAATTATATACTTATTACATTTCCATTTATTTATTATTATAATAATTATATTCAAATCATGACTGGTAAATATTTATAATAGGTTCTATATTGATAATTTGAATAATTTTTTTATATATAATTTTTTTATATATACAAAGGTTTTAGAAAGCACCTTGTATCCACCCACAAAATAGTTAGTATTACATTATTATTAATACAATTAAATTTATTTAATGTGATACAATATTGTTTATTTTATCAGTTTTGGGAAAATGACTATCGAAGCTAGTAAAAATATTAGAAGTTTATTTTATTAAAAACATTGTTTAACTAATAAACTGAAAATGTACTGAAACTCTGTTCTTAATAACTTACCATTAGACCGTTTTATAATTAACAGTCTTAATAAAAAGTTTTTCTTCATTGGTGAATATATTTTAAGTGCATAGAAAAGCTTGGATACATGAAGATTCTTCTCAATTTAGTGCAACGGTTATGGTGTTGCGTGTTAGCAAGGTATATAATCAGACTTGGTGGTTCCTCTAACGATATTCATCGGCGTTGATGAAAGCGGGCAGAAACTCTACTACAACTGGCGGATCACTGTATGTAAGGTAGATATCTTAAGACATGCAATAAAGCTCGGTCTATCTTCTAACAATTTTTGTTGGGATTGATGCTCCGTGGATGAGGGGGAAATTGTACTCCACCTCATGTGTCTGTGTTCATAATGAATCAAAATCTTTTCTAACTGATTTGACAGATCTGATTATCCCTATATTGCCAACTAAATGGACTTATCAGGTTGTAAAATTCTTTTGGGGGGATTCATGCAGAATCGAAAATGATAATTACAAAAGAGCATAATCAAGCAATTACTGTCCAAGCAATATCTTTATGAGTTCCACACATATGGACATCCCAACGGCGCCATATTCAGTAGATCCCTCCTTTCAAGATGTATCCGACAATTACTTTATTCATATAATAGATATACCGACACCTTTTGCAATGATTTTAACATCAATGAGTTCAAATATAAATGTGGACTTACAGCGGTCCACACAGATGCTGTATTCTCTTCCAGACCGAGATTGTCCTTCCTTTCCTTCCTGCCTAAAATTTCTCAAGAAAACGACGATTTCCCTGGGCAATTCAATTGAGATCAGAATACAATCAGCCATCTGCTAAAAAGTTACTTGTCACGCATAAACACATCTATTCCTAATGTGTGCCCAAGCTGCTGCTCTACCTCTCATGACGTCGCCCATCTGTTCTCTTGCTCCACTGCACACACAAACCTCAGTCCAATTGGCCTTTGGACACACTTCATTGAAGTGGCCAAGTTTTTCCGTCTTGATCCAGGTTGATTTTAACTAAAATCCTCCATCCCTAATTCCGCTACTTCCCAATCGAACCCTATTCTTTAATTCCTCCACCTTCACTAAACTATTACTATTACATGATATCTTGTTTCCAGATCCCTTTTATTGAAAGAGTGATCGTTTGGGTATTCTGTACGGACAGTCTCTCCTTTGTGATATCATATTAGGTAATTATTTATGGCCAAGTGAGCACTAAATGGTATAATGTTCCAGCTCCCAACTTGCCGAACCTATGAACCGAATATATTCTAGTAGTTTATTTATTTTGATTTTTGCGTTAAAAAATATGTAAATATTTACAATATTAAATTATTCCCTTTCGATGTAATAGGAAACTCTATTGTTTGACTTGGTACTATGACATATAAGAGTTCTCAATTTATGTAAAAATATTATTTTTATATATTTGCAGGGGGATTATCATTTTATGGAGGAGCATCAGGTAAGCTATATGGTATATGTTAATAATATAAAATATAATTAACTTCTGATCTCGGAAATTAAAATATAATATTTTATAGACGTACATGATGATATGCTGGGAATCGGTCAGTATGAAGATTTCCATACTATTGATTGGCAACGTGATATTGCCAGAGATCGAATGCGACACAGGTATATAGTTAAGAAGAGACAAGATTCGTTATTGGATTTACTAAAGGTGAGAACATTTTTCATTGTTATTTTTTTTATAATTTAAATTTATTCAACATTATTTAAGGGTGCCCACGATGCTTGGTCTGGCTGGCTGTGCGTGTTATTTGTGGGTATTGCGGCGGGTTGTGTTGCTGGCATGGTTGATATTGGCGCAAGTTGGATGTCAGATTTAAAACATGGCATCTGCCCGCAAGCGTTTTGGTTTAATCGAGAGCAATGTTGTTGGCCAACAAAACAATCAGTCTTCGAAGAGGGGAATTGCTCAACGGTAAGTATTACTAATAATTTATATGTATATCACCAACTTAAATTAATATGTTTATTGTTATTGTTTAGTGGAAAACATGGCCTGAAATATTTGGCTTTAGTCGAAATGGCACTGGTCCCTATATCATCTCATACATATGGTATATATTGTGGGCGTTACTCTTTGCCGCTCTGAGTGCATCGTTGGTACGCATGTTTGCGCCATATGCTTGTGGTTCCGGTATACCAGAAATTAAAACAATACTCTCAGGATTTATAATACGTGGATATTTGGGCAAATGGACTTTGTTAATAAAATCTGTTGGTCTGATGTTATCAGTATCTGCTGGTTTAACATTAGGAAAAGAAGGACCAATGGTGCATATTGCTAGTTGTATCGGAAATATTTTTTCACATGTTTTTCCAAAGTATGGACGCAATGAAGCAAAGAAACGTGAAATTCTTTCAGCTGCAGCAGCGGCAGGTGTATCTGTAGCTTTTGGTGCACCAATCGGTGGTGTTCTCTTTTCACTTGAAGAAGTTTCATATTATTTTCCTTTAAAAACATTATGGCGTTCATTTTTCTGTGCGCTGATTGCTGCATTTGTATTACGATCTGTAACACCATTCGGTAATGAACATTCAGCATTGTTCTTTTTGGAATACAACGCACCATGGATATTTTTCGAGCTTATACCTTTTGTATTTTTGGGCATTATGGGAGTAAGTACTTGTTTAAATATTTGATCGTTTTGCATATGTTATTCTGTCGAAATATGTTTTAGGGTGTCATTGGCACGGTATTTATTAAAGGGAATTTATGGTGGTGTCGTTATAGAAAGTTTAGCAAATTGGGTCAATATCCAGTAGTAGAAGTACTCGTCGTTACTTTGGTCACTGCAATTGTCTGCTTTCCGAATCCATTTACACGCATGAATATGAATGAACTAATCGATTTACTTTTTAATCAATGCTCGCCTGGGGACACAATTAATCCACTGTGGTAAGTAAAATGTATGCTTATATTTTCCTTAAGATGTCTAGTTTTTAATTTAAAATATAAATGTTTTTATTATACGTTTTATAACAAAAATACATATATATATTTCAGCGATTACACGCGGAAAAACATCACAATTGGCGCTTCATCAATGATTGAGGTTACAGTGCCTGGTCCCGGAGTATACAGTGCAATATGGCTGCTTATCTTCACATTCTTTTTAAAGTTAGCATTAACAGTTTTCACATTTGGCATGAAGGTACCCGCAGGTTTATTTGTGCCATCTTTATTGTTAGGCTCAATCATGGGTAGAATCGTTGGTATCGGTAAGTAAAAATAAATTTAATAAAAATAAAATTTATTAATATATTTTATATATCTTTTTTAAGGTGTGGAGCAATTTGCGTACAGCTATCCAAATATTTGGTTCTTAGCTGGCGAATGCTCCAGTGGTAATAATTTAATTACTCCTGGTTTGTATGCAATGGTGGGCGCTGCAGCTGTTTTGGGTGGGGTAACGCGTATGACAGTTTCGCTAGTAGTTATAATGTTTGAGCTTACTGGTGGTGTTGGCTATATCGTACCATTAATGGCAGCTGCTATGGCTTCGAAATGGGTAGGAGATGCACTTGGCAGGCAGGTAAATATGAATTTCACGTATTCAAGATTTGATTTTTGCTTAAAAAAATACATAAATACTATTCATTTGTTAAAGTAGATTTTTTGGAGTCTTAATGTTTATCTTTACCATTCAAATTTACTTATTCTTCTAGATTAGATTGTAAATAATATGTATAATAAAAATATCTAGTTTATTAGGTTATATAGAAATCAAAACGTTACACGTAGGAAATATTACTGAGTCATAGCACGTAGACAAAGATTAATAGTCATGTTTTTTTAAATAATTCTGTGTAAGATAAAATAAAAAGATTTTAATCGAAATTAAGTTAATTTAGTTCAATTAAAATCATGTGAGTAATAGTAATAGTTGTTCACATGTTTTAATTTTAATACATATGATTTATTTATCAAAGCATTTCTTACCCATATTTAAATAAACTCTGCATGAATTGAGGATTGGAAAAATATTCAATGTCTATTGGTTAGACCTGTACCAATTTTTTTTGAAAAAATTAAATCAATAAAGACTAAGATACAATATTTTCTAAACCTGCTGTTGCAAATATGGATTTTCATGAAAAAGAAGTCTCTACTATTACTAATAGTTAGCGCGAACGAAACCTAAGTGAACGAAATTTAAAGCTTTTTCAGTGGTGCCTACCGTTTCACTCTCTGCTCTTGCCAGCCATAGACGAAACATGACACACGATCATTTTTTGCATTAGGCCAACAGAAATTGAGCGAATATTTCTTCAGAACAAGGTTAAAAGCCATATGGCTTTTAACTAGATTCATACTCCAAATCTAGAACCTCTGAAATGGGTCCACATTAGTAAATTTCAAGTATCTAAGGTAATATCGGTCCTAGCGGGACACTTGACTATATGACGCCATGGAACCAGACTTTACAAATCTTTTGTAGTAATTGTCTAAAGACTTAAGTTCTTATGCGTCCCATTTTTGGGACTTAATCTAACACATTTATAGTTCTACATACCCAACTTTCTATCCATAATATCGAGAAAAGTGATAACAAAAAAGCTTTGTTAGTTAATTGAACTCGATTTGATTCTTCTCCACCTATGCTGTTAACGCCGCGGGTTTATTCAGAAACCGTGCCTGAGACTAATCTGTAGTGTTACTATCTGCAGTTTATATACCCCACATTCTTTAGCGGCAGATAATGTCTACTAGTTTTTAACCCTGGTCATCTATGGGCCCTAAAATGAATATATTATCAAATATTAATTTGAAATTAATAATTAAACTTAAAATTTAATAAAAATAATAATTGTTTATATATTAAATAGAATTATATTTGTACCTATTTTAAATTTATACGAAATTTTTATTAATTTTTATGAAAAAAAATAATAAAAAAAATTTATATTTATTATTAAAAGCTACACAAATCATTTTATTCCAAATATTTTATCCATTTAAAATATTTTATATTTTAGGGTATATATGATGCTCACATTGCACTAAATGGGTATCCATTTTTGGATAGCAAAGAGGAGTTTGCTCATACAACACTCGCTGCAGATGTAATGCAGCCTAAGTAAGTATAACTTAATATATTTATATAAATTTAAATACTATTTATTTTTATATGTATTTTTAATTAAACTTTTAAATTGCAGACGAAATGAAACATTAAATGTCATAACGCAGGACTCAATGACTGTTGATGACGTTGAAAATTTACTAAAAGAAACTGAACATAATGGGTATCCTGTTGTGGTATCGAAAGAAAATCAATACTTAGTAGGATTTGTTTTAAGAAGAGATCTCAATTTAGCAATTGGTAAGCAGAATTTTAAATTAATAACAATCATAGATAAAATGTTATTACACTTTTATTATTTTTTAGCAAATGCCAAACGACTTATTGAGGGTCTTAATGGCTCATCAGTAGTACTATTCACATCCACTATGCCAACACAAAATCTTGGACCACCTGCTTTGAAATTAAAGAAAATTCTCGATATGGCACCAATTACCGTTACGGATCAAACGCCAATGGAAACAGTTGTCGATATGTTCCGTAAATTAGGTTTACGACAAACATTAGTAACACATAATGGGTAAGAAGGATATAGTATGATTATTACTATAATTTAATAACGATATTGATACAAATGATAAGTGAGTGTTTTAATAAGTTTTCATCCTAATTTTATAAGAATATCAGAACTGATCTGAATAAAATCCTTTTTTAAATATTTAATAAGTAATATGAATCAAAGATTTTTTTTAATAAGTATATAATTATGTTTTTATATAGTTACAAATCCGGTAATCCATATCAATTCTACAACATTTATGCTATAATATTTGTTTTCATATGTTTGTTTGTATATTTAAATTCCTTTTACATACACATTCTTATCAATTGTTTTATATATACACGTACATTTGTATGTACGTCCCGTCCCGTAAATTTTGGAGTTGAACTAAACTAGGGGTTTTTAGAAATCGAAAAAATCGTATAGAATATTTTGAATATTTATCGAAATAAAGTGTGTCTAAAGACCTTCAAGCCACTATCCTAAAAAAACCGCACTATCCTAAAAAAGGTTTATTCAAATTGCTTAGTTTATATATTGAATTAATCTAATTTATTTATACTGCAATAACAGATTAGACATTATAATATAGTAGTATAATTATAATGTAGTATAACGTTACAGAAAATTTTATTTCTAATTTTTTATAAAATTAATTGTTATTATTAAAATATATTAACACCTTATTATGGGTAATTAAAGAATGCCACAACGCGTTCTGGGTGGAATTTATCTAACCTGTTTTATACTATAAACGTTAGTCGTTCTTTTGTCATATATATTATTAGTATATATTAGCTTTTAACCCCAACACATTTCACAGTTACTAAGTGATCAATTTAGCTCATTTAAATAAATGAGACAATAGAAAAATTAAATAAAGAAAGTAAAAATTGCTAGCTAAACAGCATTAAAAATATTAAAAAAAAATTTATACAAAATACCATTTTTTTTTATTATAGACGTCTCTTGGGTGTTATCACGAAAAAGGATGTACTGCGGCATGTGAAAAAAATGGATGATGAAGACCCTAACACGGTTTTGTTTAATTAAATAGAAATTAATTTAAGTAAATTAAGTTGCAACATTATTGTTAGCGACAGTCATTTTAAGATGTACGCGTTAGCATTTTAAAATGCTGTTTATATTTGTCATTAATAGTAAAATTCTTTATTTTTTATGTGAAATCTATATTAATTTTTTGATGTTTATTTTTTTCGTAATTATATTTTATGTACAATATATTTAACGTCATTAATTATAAAAAATTATTTATTATTATATTTGTAATATTATGCTATATAAAGTGATCGTAATTTACTTTTAAAGTGACTATTGAGATATTATATTTAATTTACTCATTTTTAGTTTAAATGTAAAATCATTAATAACTTTTGTAAGCAAAAACTTTTATTTAAACAAAATCGATGTGTTACTACTATTCGTTTATTATTATTTTTTTATAATTGCTCGTAAATGGATTTATGCCAATATATTTTTGATATATTTTAATGTGCAAAATTTGAATGTTTTAATTGTTTACATTTAATTTATGTACGAGTAAAAGTTGAAAGATGTAGAATTTAAATATTGAATACTGTTACGACCTACATATTACAGTACATAAGATGTGTGTGTAAGAGAACAATGTCTGTCTCGATGTGAATAATGTTATTATCAATTGCAAGCTATTAATCTAAGTTTAAATATTAAAAAGAACAAATATTGGTTTTTATTTAATGTATATTAAGTAAATGCAATTATATATTATTGTAAATAGTGAAATTTTAATGTAATAAACTATTCTGAAAATATATAACGCAAAGTAAAGAAAAAATTTCTAAAATTTGTTTCATTAAACCCAATTGCGTTGTTTAGTCTTCAAGATAAAATAGTTGAAAGTCACAACCATATAAACCAGTAACGATCCAATAACTACAAGAAATAATATTATATATATTATATATTATAAGTATATAGAAGAAGAATATTGTGTACCCATTATTTGTTAATTTGATAGTATTTCCTTTGCCACGGAGTGCTCCTTTAATTTCTTTGTACCTTCCATCAGATTTTCTTTAAGAAATATATTTAAAAATATTTAAATCAATTTTAGTTATTTAATATATATTATAAATAAATAAATATAATAATAATTATTATAAATCTTTGTCCATAATCAAATAGGTAAAATTAAGCCCATTGTAATTACGAGATTTATAAATAGTCTAGAATTGTTTTAGTTTGGTCTTTAGGCGCACAATAGATCTTTTAGGTCGAGGTACATTCATAGCCTATTATATAATAATAATAATTTATTTTATATAAAGTGAATTATGCGGTTGACTGCATACAGCTGTTTTGGATATTGAAAAATATCCATCAACATAAGTATTCCAAACAAATAAGTTTATATATATATATATATATTTTTCAGTTGAATTATCTGTATATAATTTTAATTATAAAAACTTAAATTCATAATGACTTTAATGAATATTTAACAATATCCGAAACAGCTGTATGTGATCAAAAACTCACTTCATGAAAAATAAATATTTAAATTTCATCAGTTGAAAGTATTTTAATTGTTTGTATATATGTAATTGTAAAATTATAGTTATTTATTTAATAATTATATATGAATCTATACAGACAATTAAAAACATTTCAGAAACCAACTGTATATAATTAAAATTAATTAATTATATATATATGATTATATACGGATAATTAAAAGCAACAGTTATCCAAAACAATCCAAAATATAAATTAAAATTTTTTTTTTTAAATTTTAAGTCCATTTTCGAATTAATTTGTATTTTAATTAAACGTTTATAAATAAATATATTTAATTAATTATAATTATATAAAAATATTTTTGGACTGACCATGTACTTGCTTGGGTTTTCAACATATATGAATTTAGTTATGTTTGGATATATTTTTTTAATTTCGTTACTTGCATATAGTTATAATTATAAATAAAAAATATTCATAATTATATAGTCATAATTAACATTAACAAATATATCGAAAGACTACTAATGATGTATATTTGGTAGTATCCAAAACAGCCATATAATCAGTCCAAAATTTGACGTAAATGAAATTAAATTATTTTTAGTTAAAAAATTACATATAAATAAATATTAATAACTATTAATTATAAACCACTTGCCATATTAAACAAGTTATCTTGTTTAAGATCTTGAATATTTAATTAGATTTTATTATTAAAAAAAATAGCACCTGTAATATACTAATGAACCATCTGTTCCTGGACTATAAATAACGTTACCGTCTCGAGAACTTGCAATAACATTTTTAAAGGGTAAAGGAATTTTTATAATATTATCAGTTTTCTAAAAAATAGAATTGTTAAAATTAGATTAATTAAATTAATTAAATAAAATACTTCTTCTATTTTAATATCATGAAAGTAGAGTTCGCCACTCATATCACAGCTTATTACATAGCTGTCACCAGGTAGTGTTCCTTTCAAAAGTGTGGTGACAGCAAATTGATGGTTTTTAAGTTTCATTATTTTCAGAACCTTCTGACCTGTGCGAAGAGTTTCATTGAAGCAATTGTAGATGTTGCCATCACTTGTCCCAATAACAAAATTTTCAGGACTCAAACATAATATTGTCGTGATCTCAGTTGTACCATTTGATTGGAGAATATTTAACCATCTATAAAAATAGTTTTTTATTTTCTTCGTTTACTAATAATAATATATTTATTTATAAATTAGTCACGTGACTTAAATGCCTAGACAAGTCAAGTTTGGTACTTACATGATATAACTGATTTACAATAAATAAGCTATAATGTTCCATTTTTAATTTTAAACTTACTGATTTGATTTAACCATTTCCTCTCCAGTGAACCATTGCAAAACGTTACCATTGGCATGAGCAGTGAACAAAGAATTCGGTGATGTCCACTCTATGCCAACAGCGGAACCATTTTGTGAAGTCACTTTAAACAATTGCTGTACTTCAAGTGTTTTTGAGTTGGAATCATGTTGACACTTCCAAACATAGATTTCGCCATTATATGTAGAACCAGCAAAAATATTTTTATTGTAGGGATTTGTAGAAAGACACTTCAGACATGCATCAACCGGTACACTTTTCATTTTATTGAAGACAACATAATCAGTTTTAATACGTTGTGGCACAAAAATGGTTATACTCTGTTCAATATGTTCACACCAATCATCGTGTGGTGCAACCGATGTGACGGCTAACATAGGTGCATTGTTGGTGTGAATCGATAGCCAAATAGCTAAACCTTGTGAGTTTTCTGTAATATTTTCAATTGATATTTTTTGATACGGTTCAATTTTTAAATCTTCTTCGTAGCGATTTGCATGAACCTGTGATAATGGTGTTGCACCTTTACGAAGTTCATTCTCAACACCTGGGAGTATTTTTTGTAACCAACTTGCCAGTTTTTCATCATCAATCGTTGAGGTGCTAACAGAAGTTACTCCAGTTTGTGTTTGTGTTCCTTCATCGTTGCTTACAAAGGTTTCAGTGGATTTGTTCACGTATTTTGGATTTATATCAGTAGAAGTACCTTTATCCAAATATAGAACCTTACTTCCTAATGGAGTGGTTGGCAAAAATTCTATAACTTCAGAAGTGCATTCAGATAGTTCATCCATTTCATACCTTAATAAGTTTTATCTTATTAATGACAAGTGAATAATAAAATATTGTTTTGATTGCTTGATTTTGGTTAAGAGTTGCTATGGAAACATAGGTTGCTTAGTTTAAACAAAAAACATATAATATTTGAATAATACAAACAGGTGTATTTACATTCACTACCAGAGAATAAATGTCCTAACTGATATTCAGGCAGCAATCAAGGCACTCAACTTTCA